GGTCCTCGGTTCCTTTCCCAAACCGCCCTGCCACTTTGTCAGCGTCCCTGTGGCTGCAGCCTGCAGCTGCAGCAATCCTTAGCAGTGGGCAGGGATCCACGTTCACAAGGGAGAACATCCTCAGAAAGTCACTGCAGCACTTTCCCCTGGCTGGCTGAGGGACCACCGTGAGCCTGTGGCTCTGGGCAGCCCCTGGCCTCCAAAAAACAGGGGTGGGCAGCCAGTGGGTGCTTCTTCCTCCTGGCACAAGCCCTGTTCCCCTTCCTCCCATTGGGACTGTTGGCAGGAGGGAGGAGGAAGGCAGCTCTCTGCCCTGCCGGATGGAGCTCTTTGCTGCAGGAGCCGAGGGTTACCTGCGGTGGGATGGATCCAGCCTGAGACCCAGCAGTTCTTGAGGTCCAAGGCAGAGAGGCACCCGTGGAGCAAGCAGATGGGCTGAACGATGCTGCTGAATACAAGCGGGGCAGCTGTCCTGAGCAGAATGACATTGTTGTAGAATGTCACCTTATCGAACTCCTCGGGGGGGGGATGGCAAGAGTTGATCGAATTCTGGGGCTGGTCTTCCCATTGCCTCTTCATGGCACTCAGCCCAACCGCGGCCAACACCCGTGGCCTGTGGGGGGTGGATGGAGGGCACTGGGTGCAAGGAAATGCCTGGGGCAAACTCTGCCTGTCCCTGCTCTGGCTGAAGGATGCTCGCTCAGCTGCTGGGTGGCGACAAGACCCTCCCGAGCACTGGGAGGTGGTGTTATTCCCTGCTGACTCCCAAGCCTTGCCCAGGGCGACACAGGGCACAGACCTGCTTTGCAGGCTGGATGCAGGCTGGATGCAGAGCTGAGGATCCAGCACTTGTTCAGGATGGAGCCGAAGGCCGGGAGGTTATGCTGCATGTCCTGCAGTGCCACCACCCACAGGAACTAGTCTGTCACCGCAAACTCCTGCACAGGCTAGTCTGGATCCCACGGGCTTCAGCGAAACAGGAGGGACATCACTCGGTGCGCCTTGTGCTACAGACTCCCACCGCCCCCCTCTTCCCTCTGATGCCCCCTTGCTGCAGCTGTCCTGACCTTTGACCTCGCCTGGGACTGATGCCAGCATCACCCGCAGGGCCAAGCTGGTGGCATGGCATGTAGTGCATGACGGTCAGATCGTGCCAGCTCTCTCACCTGATGCTGGGATGGCACAGAGACACACAGCATGAGGCTCTCCACTGCTGCTGCCGGACAAAGAGCTGGGGCCAGGGAGCCAGGGCCCTTCTCTGCGGGTCCATGGGGAGAGGGGTACATGGCATGCTGGGTGCCGGCTGGCAGCCAGCCCGGAGGGGCTTGGCATGCTTGTGCTGAGCGCACCAGGCTGGTTCTTTGCCCCTGGTTGTGGGCACTGCACGTCCCAAGCACCCTGGCAGCGGGCAGGGACACCGGGAGACCCAATTGGCCCATTCCCAGTTCCTTGGGCCTCATCCTGCTGCACTCTGCCTGCTCCATCACACCGATGGGGCCGATACCTTGCTGGCCCCATGCTGCCCCCCTGCCTAGCACCCCGCTGCTGCCACGGTGCCCAGGCTCAGCACCCATGGTGCAGGCACAAGCAGCTGGCAGGGCCCTGCTGGCCTTCCTGCAGGAGGGCCCTTGGAGGCTTGTGCAGGGCATCTGCTGGCACCGAAAGAATCTCTGGGGCACAGCTCCTCCTGCCCTGGGTGCTGCTGGATGGTTTCTCCCTGGAACAGCCTATCCTGCCCAGGAGGTTCCTTTCTGCGTGCACACTTGGAGTCTCTGCCTACCCTGGTCCCACTTATCATAGAATCATAGAATGGTTTGGGTTGGAAGGGACCTTAAAGACCATCTCATTCCGACCCCCCTCCCCTAGGCTGGGACACCTTTCACTAGACCAGGTTGCTCAAGGCCCCATCCAACCTGGCCTTGAACACTTGCAGGCAGAAGCAAGGGTGGCAGGAGGCAGGAGGAGCTCTGGTGCTGCATAAGGGGATTTATAAAAACCTGATGGAGCCCAGAGTGTGTAGGGGTGGTGGTGAGGGAACCTGGAGGGCAGCAGGGGCTGTTACAGGGGCACCACGAGGCTACAGTTGCCTGTGGCTGGGCTTTCCCGCGAGGAGGTCCCTTTCCAGCTCATGAAAGTCCCTGTGTGCATTTGGACATTGATAATACAAAAGAACCAGTATTGATCCTGATACCAATATAAAATATACCAGGATTACACTCAGCCCACTCTATCCATAGAAGCCGTGCGCTCCCCACAGGGGACAGCCAATGTGGGACACTGTGAGTGCTGCGGCTTCGGGAGGAAGAGAAGGGCTCAGGGCTCCAGCAGTGGAGCAAGGAGTTCTCAGGATGGCAGCCGTCATGGGATAGAGAGAAGTCCTCAGCAAACTTTCTAATTTATACTGAATGTGCCATTCACGGTATGAAATAATACTTTTGGGCAGCTTGGGTGAAGTGCCCGGGTCTCGCTCTTCCTTATCCCCACACCTGGCAAGCTCGAGAACACTGAGACCTTGAAACCTGTATCCTGTAGCTGGCTAGAAAGTAAATATTTTCACAAATTCAGACACAGGAGTCTTCTAAAAGTGCAGTTTTCCCAAGTATTAGAAGATAAATTAGTCCTGTGTGGCTCAAACCAGGACTTACCTGTCCCACTGAGAAGGGCCTTTGGCCCTGGCTCTTGTGATGCTGTGGCTGAAGTGCTGCGGGAATCAGCTGGGAGGCAGCTGATGATCCTAAGGCCTGTTTGTAGTTGATTTGTGCCAAAAGGGGCTTAACCCTGCAAGAGCGAGGAAAACGTCCCTGAGGTAGGTTTCACCCTGCCCTCCCCATGGTGATGCCACTCTGAGGCTTGTCCCTGATCACTGGCTGGGCTGTTCCAACACGATGCCGGTGTTACCACAGACTGTTTCCAAAGGTGATGCTGGCAGCTGACAGTGACACTGCCTGAGCCGGAGGTACCTGGAACCTGTGAGCATGACTTGACATCTTTCACGTTATCTGGATCCACAGGGGTCAAAGACAACCCGCATGAGCCAGGTGCTGGTGGAACCATGACCAACCCATGCCCTTGACCTCTGTGGGTCAGTCAGCTTGGTGACACCGGTCCCCTCCCGCTTTGCAGGTCTCAGAAGAGGTCAGCACTGCCAAAGGAGCATGACCTCGTGGCAGCTCTCCTGGGCAGCGTGGGACCCTCCCCGAGGACAGCCAAACCCCTCCCTTTGCC